CGACGAATTTGTACAACAATGGCTATTATTTTTAATTAATGTTGTCGAATAACCACGAGATCACTCAGGAACAAGTTGATTTGGTTCTGCTAACTAGTAATACAGAGGAACTAGTTTTATAAACATGTTAAGCCTAACTACTTGTTAGAAGTTAAAAGGTTGCGCGGAGAAAATCTGAAGCACTAGACTACGGCAGATCGATAGTTAACATCGGTAGAATAGTCACAGTCAAATACATCTACTGCTGTCCAACACATTTTCACTAAATCCAGAAACCAAAAGTCCAAGTGATTAAGACACAAGGCAAAGGTCTGAATATGTATCCTTTCAGCTGACAAGTTATGTTTTGTAAAACTAGTCTCTTTAGCAGATACTAACTCGCCGCATCAAAATAAAACTTGCCTCAAATTGTTGTAAAAACGTTAGGTTATCGTAAAGGATTAACATCAGCCGGCAAAGTGCAGTGAATGCTTCGTTACGAGATCACTAGTATATATGCAAACATTCAGCGACATTGTGGATGTTAGATAATTTTCGAAGCCAAACATCGGAGCGGTGCACTCACACCATGCGATACGCTAACACAACTCTCTCCTCTCAGCAGGTTTCCGAAAGACGCCCAGTCAAGCTCGCCTGAACGGTCGGATGAGTCCATTTGAGGAGAGGGAAGCTCTCCTTTCCCACTTATAAGTCCGAAAGACTACAAATGCTAAACTACTGCAGCCCTCCATTTCTGGCCACGAACAAGTTTCCAAGATTGGAATAGCAAATGCGAAACTTACCGTAAAATAACGCCAGAAAAGGCCGACATTTGTTTAATTCAGAGCTTCTTAATAGATGTCGATCCCAAATAGGGTTCAATAAACAAACAACTAATACGTCTGTCATTAATACGTCTATTTCTTTTAGTAAGGAATTTTCGATTTAAAACATTTCATTAGAATTTTAATAATTCAATACATTTAAACAAATGTCTATATGTTTCTCATAAATTATAACTTAATTATTGAAGCTTATTTTTCCCTACTGATAGGCACATTAGGGGTGACGAAAAAAAAAATCCATGAGGTTGAGGTTCTCAAGAGAAAAAAATGTTTAAGAAAACCAGATTTAATTGAAGCACTGATTTTTCGCTATGTTGTCACTTGTAGAGCGATTTCTTTCATAAAAACCAGTCCCATTGACATAAGAATAATAATTTAAAGGGTGAAAAATTGCATAAAAAGGATAAATTTCTTAGCCATTTAAATACTGTAAATTCAAAAGCTTATAAAGTAATTAATTTTAAAAGTAATCCCAGAAATCTAGAATCTCGGGGGAAAAAAACCCTGAAAAGAAAAGCGGAAAATTGGAGAAAATAAAAATATGCTTAAAACTAAATACAAATTTTTAAGACCAAGCTTGATCCTTGGCCATTTAGCCGACAAATCCTTTAATAAACACTCACATGCACAAATATATATAATCTTCAAGCCTTAGTGATTTAAAATTAGCTAATTTTTAATATAATTATATATTAACTTACAAAGTGTAATTTTTAATGAAACTATACACTTAATATTATAATAAACAACTTTCGAATGTTTGCAAGCCTGTTTAACAAATAATTACAAAATTCAGACTACCCAGTATTACTAGTTATCATCTCCAAATCAGAATTGCACAAAATTTGCTCAGTTTTCATATGATTAGTTACCAAACAGGTAAAACATACTTATTATTTATGATATATAGGTAATATAACTGCTATATTTATTATTAAGTAATTATATTAATTAAACTTGATGAAACAGTTCAGTTATAAAAGATACGAAATATACATTAATTTACAAATATTCAAATGATACAAGCAAATTTTAAAAGCCATTCTTAAGAATATTTGAAGTTATATTCGAGATTAATGTGGAAACGAAAACAATAAATTATATTGTAGTTAATTTATTTTACGTCAGATTTTTTCAATATACCCTGATTTATTGAAATAAATTAAAGTGGGACAAAAGGCTTTCTTCAGTTATTTTTATTTCGACTTTTATGCTATAAACACGATATTTAAGCACGATATATAAGCTTCTATTGCTAATTCTTCAAGGTTAAACTTTTAATTAAAGAGTCGTTTAGTTCCAACAGGAAAAAATCATTTTAAAAAAATGCAAAATAAAAAATACTTCATTTAGAATCTTAATTTTTTTTTTATTTAATGCATTATTTGGAAATAACAATTGTAAGCTTAAAAATTTACAGTAGTGTCAAAAATATTTTCTTTCCAGATATTATGAATTTTAGATTTATCAAGTTTCTTAAAAAATTGAATAAGTTATTTAAATGTTTAAAAGAATTTTTAAAAAAATTAAATCGTTTGCTTCTGTTGAAAATAATGATGTTTATGATTTCTTATCAGAATGACTTGAAAAATTTGGCTGTCGATACATTTAAATTGATTATTTAGAAGCCATAAAAATGTTTTAAAATAAATTAAATTGGCTTGTTAATATTGTTCTTTTTTTTTGTCTGTCTTTAATTCTACTTTCCCCTTCAACCTAAAATTCTGAAAATTCTGTTATGGGTTGGTAATCTGGGAGATTTAAGAAACTAACAGAGGTACAGACAAATATAGGAATTTCAATTTTTTTTTATTATATCAAAATAATTACATAACAGACATGAAATATACGTAAACTATTTTGTATCACTTCGAAAAATCCTCTTCGGCTGCAATAGTAATTATCATAAAACATTAAACGTAATCAAGAAATTCATATTTTGTGATAAATAATTGTCTGAAAAGTTTAGATTAAGAACAAAAATAATTAAATTAACATAGTCAATAACTATGTTAATTTAAGTAATTTAAATTAACATAGTCATTGAACGTGAGTGTAACAATCAAAATATATAGAATGGGTATTTGAGAAAAATATTTTCAAAGAAATATCGAAATTACACTGTAGTTTATGTATACAAAATATAATTAAGTTAAAAAAATAGTAGTTTCATATATTTAACTCTTATACATTTTTCTTTCTGCAATTAGAAGCAAGACCGAATTTTAAAGCTCCAATTAAATACTTTTATTGGACTTTCGAGCAACTCTCTTTTACACCAAGACAATTTTTTCAAACACTCATTTTTGTAGCTCATGTGCGCTAGAATCATAAAAGAAATTTAATTAAAAATAAACTCTCGTTCCAGTTTTAAAAAGCTAGAAAAAAAAATTGTTTGAAGTTTATTATTACAACGAAATGCGTAGTTTACATCACTCTAATTTGAAACTTACAAGTCGCACAAGTTGAGCTTGGAGTTAATGATGTTTCTGATAAGTAAAGGAGCTCACTGCTATTCTTGAAATATGTCTAACTCAAAATAGCAACTTTTTCACTTGCTGACCTTCTGAACTGAGCTGCAGATATATGTTGCTTCCTTCAATGGTGCCACTTCATGGTCACGTGGCACACTCGCCGTGTTGATTTTGGAATCCAATGTGCATTTGACAGGAGGAAAAAGAACCTGACATCACAATACACAGATTAAAATAAGATGCAATTAGGTGATAGTTGACATGCGCGATTACGTTTGTCGCGCTATTGTGACGTCATAAGAATTGATTCCAGCACAAGGTTGAAGAAACGAGCATGATTGCAATCGTCTAAATGCCTCGGTGGCCTAGCGGTAAGGTGTCGGCTCGGAACCGACGAGTTTCCGGGTTCAAAACCCGATTCCACTGAAGATCAATCGTGTATTGGGCCTGTTGCACTTTAAATGTTACCTAGTGGGTCAAACTCCTCCCGCTGGTGCGGAAGTTTGGAGGAGGGGGGTGCCGTCATCTGACTGCTGTTCAAAATTACAAGGTCCGTCTCAAAATAGCCCTCCTGTTGCTTCAAAACGGGAAGCTAATATGGCTAAACTAAACTGCAATCATCGCTTACATCATCCCGGGAATTGCTTAGTTGAGCAGAAATCAACCTTTTCAAACCACAAGAAGTATTAAATCAGATCGAAATTATGTAAAACTTTGCCTCTCACTCAAATGAGAAGGAAATGAGCGGACAAGATTGGAAGGCGTGGACAATAATGGAAGTAGGTTTATGAAAAATATTACATATAGTTCACACTTTTCTAGAGGATGATATCTTTTCTCAAACAAACAAGAGCGAGCATTAAATAGGAATCTGAACACGCATTCAAATGTTATAAATAAATAATATAACCTGGAATATGCAGGGTGTCGCGCGATTATCGACGCTAATCTTATCGGCGTCGCACTGAATTGGTTTGTACTCGGCAGGGAGTCTGAAAAGTCAATGGAAATATTGAGTTGAACTCCTTTGAAGCTTGATAAGACTTCGAAGAACAGTCTTTTCTTGTAGCATACAATGAGCTGCAGGTAAAGTTGAGGGCTGAAAGATTTAAAAGTCTGCGAGATCCACTGCACGATTTGGCGGAAGTTTTCCATTTATTTTAAAATTATTTTTTGAAAATGATTTATCAGTGTTGATTAAATTCTGTTGGAAATTACTGATAAATAGGAGTATTAATTAGCATATTTATTTGCAGTTCATTAAAAATTATAAGTTATGCAGACCTCCAACAGAAAATCTATTCGAAAGTTATATTTCACTAAAAACAGGTCGACGGCCCCCTGAAGAATATACTTCTAAGAATGTTTCTACAAAAATATACTGTCTCTTCTATAAACACTAATTCTTAAGCATTCATCAAAACCTGTCAGCGTTCCTGAAGTTACTTAAACAGACTTTCAAGCTCAACGAGACAGTTTCTAGTCTACATTTTTTTCTCAACAGTTTTAAGAATTCAAACATCAAATGTTTACACATAAAAATAGCATCAATCGATCATTCTACGTCCCAGTGGACACAAAATTGTATTTCCTATGAATTATCTCCTCATTAAATTATGTTTTAGATATTTATTTTCTTCCTGTCTTTCTGACATTCACGTACACAGAACCTTACAAGCTAGACAGTGATTTACTAAAATGTTGATGAATTCAATTCCTGCTCATGTGACACACACCAAGTGCGCTGCGCCGGTTTCATTTTGAATACCATTGCGCATATTGTGAAGGGAATCGGGCTTGACGTCATAGTACGATGTAAGACAACGTGCAGTTACATTTATCACGCGGCCATGGCGTCACGAGAGTATAGACCCCGTTTTCTTCTTTCGAAATCACACAATTGACATTGGATGGTTTTTTTTTTTCTACTGAGGGGAGGGGGGTGCATGAAATATATACTTAACATTTATTCTTAAAATAAAGTTTTGACCTCCCTAAGATTTAACTTTTTAAAAATTGCCCCTTTATTTATGCTTCTTATATGCGTCGTAAATTACTCAATTTCTCATAAATTTAAAGCTGAATTATCTTCCACTTAATAAGGTAGATTTTTAAAGAAATAATATTTTTTTATCGAAATGAGATGAATTTATGAAGCTGTGTAGGTATCCAGTCAACTAGTGGTCAGAGCAAGCTGGAAAGAAATTTTCACGCCCCCGATTTAGGAAAATAAATTAGTAAATGATGCATTATTAATAATAAATTAATAATAATTGCATAATAAATAAAAGGCAATTAAATTTAAAATATCCATTCAGGAAATTTCAACGAGCTGCTTTCAGTCAATACTTTCTTATCCTAGAAATATCGAAGACTCTGGCAGTGGATGAATGGGGCGTGACAATAATATTTCGCACCCCTCCTCATATTTGATTTCAAAATTTGACAGAGAAGCACTAATATTTTGTCTCCATGGCGCATCCCTAAGAGGAGCGCCTATACCCCCAGGGCCGGCCGAAACAAAAGCGGGGCCTGGTGCAAAGTTGATTTGCGGGGCCTTGCAACAAATTTCGTATCACAAAATAATGATTTATTACATTTTGGCATTTATTACATTGCTCAGATTGGAATGGGACTGAAGGAATACATGAATATAATTTATGCATAAGGAATATAGGAAATATAATTTTAAAAATAATTTTTGATGATTAAAATAATTTTTAATTTTAATGACTAATGAAACAAACTTGAATCTCTAAAATTGTTGAAACATTATCCTACTCGAAATCGATAATGAAGTGAATTTAATAAATAGTTATTAAATGGACAAAAATAATTTTAAAAAGGCAAATATTTAATCCTCCAACAGTCGAGCGTATGTACGAGGTACTTATATCGTGCATCGTATATCGTGTTGTTTTACAGTGGCAAATGCAACTTTTATTTATGTCATCTGTATTTATTATCTCCGTACTAAATAAAGATTATGTAAATAAAAATCGCGCTTAAATTTATAACCAGCACCGACGAGGGAAGCCGGCTTAAGACATTTCCCGAAGACGGCAGGACCTATAGCTCGCAGACTCCGGTTTCTGCAATGTTTTTTTTTACTTGTATGTTCGGATAAAAACAAATAAACAGAAAAAAGGCATTTTCAATACGCAAAATCCGTCAGCGGCGTGGGATCTTTCAGAGGAGCGGGGACTTGTGCGGTCGCACCCCCCACAGGCCGGCCCTGCATGCTCCTTTGCCCTCGGTGGCGTAGCGAAAGTAAACGGTGCCAGGGGCATAATTTGATTTTTTCACCCTCAGCAGTCAGCAATGATTTAGTAAACGAATCGATTGATGTTAAAAGGGACTTCTCGCAACTAGCAGAAAACTGCTATATTCATGTTAAAAGGGCTGTTCTGTGTTCTTCCGGCATCACATTGAAACTTGGATGCTGTACCAAAACGTGGCTGTGGATGGTAGAAGCCCCGTTTTCACACTAAAAAAGCATTCTCCTTCATGAAATTAAAAACAAAAATTAAAATGTCATTCAAATGTAAATGATTCAAATGTAAATGGCGTCTGGGTCGTTTCCACCCTCTCAACCTATTTGGCTTTAAAAAGTAACGTAAACGAATTACGTTTTGTCTCCATGGCGCCCCCCAAAACTGGCGTCCAAGGCCGCTGTAGTCGCAAAATAAGCAGTGCCGGAACGCTCTAATCTTTGAGACAAAAATTGCGCCGGGCGTTTTCACAATTTTTTTTATTTATTTCTCGTGAGAAAAAAACAGTACCGGAACGGCTCCACTACACCCCTGGCCCAAGGAATCTATACCCCAGGACCAAGGAAATATATTAGGGCTCTGGACCTGTCTATAACCCCTTTGCCCGCGGTCTCTGCTCCATTGGAATCAGAGCGTGAAATATGTCTCGCTCCCCCACACGTGTGTTTAGGAGGCGCCATACTGGTGGGAGTTGTGGAATACAGAATGCAATCATACTTGACAAGCTTGGTGGTCTGTACGTTCCATCAGTTATAAATCATGCGTTGACATATCTTATCGGGAGAGATGTGGCCTTCACTGCTTTGTATGGATTCATTGTGCACCTATGTTCGGATAACTTGAACACACCGATACCTAATGTGTTCATAACTAGAATTTCTGCAAGATACATATGTATATGCATTTTTAAGGAGGAAAATCGTAATTGAAAAATACCTAATCTAATTTATCAGATTTACCAGTGTTTGATTATTTTAAGCGGTCACACAGATATATTCATTTCGTTAAATGAATATGGTAAAAATGAGACAATAATAATTTTTGTTACACTATGCATATAGTTAAAAAAAATTTAGGCTAAAACTAAAATAACTATTCTTTGCTAGAAAATCACCATTTGCAAAATAAATGATAAGTACTTAAATACTTTCACAATTTAATTTAGGCCGTGTGAGGAGAAAAATGTTTTGAGGAAAAAATAATCTCTCGCTACTTTATATTATAAAATATTGAACAGCGTTTCTTCAATGCAGAAACTTAGCATTTTTAGTCGAGCGTTTTATATATAGCTTTTAACTAAAAATTATTTATGTGAATTTGTGTCAGCACTTCTGTTTAAATTGTAAAAGGAAAATGTATTTGGATCGCCCAATAGCTAATTATTGTATGACTTCAAAGACAGTATCTCTTTTTGCGTTTTTTAATACAAAATATATTTTCTGGCACTTCATGATATAAAAATTATCAGGAATTGTTATGCGTTAGGAATTTTTTAAACATAAAATGTCCTCTAAGCAACAATTTTTTAATGTAGCGAAAATGAATTTGTATGCGTAAGTTTTTTAATTTTCAGTATTTTCATTTTAATTGTAGAATTGTATATCATTACTGATATCCCGAGGCACGCACTTATGGGCAATTGCACTCGAGAAAGGGGTGACAGGCAATGAGTAAGATGATCGCATTTCCAGAGTTTTTTGTTAGGTCACGCTAAGTAAAATGTAAAAATCTCCTCTCCATTTTTCACTTTTCCTCTATTTTGGTGAAAATAGAGGAAAAGTGAAAAATGACCTCCACCTGAACGCATGCGCAAAAGCGCGGAGGGTTTCGGAATCAGAGAATATACAATACTTTTTTTTTTTCATTTCCATGTTTGTGCCTCATATTTTATACTCGTGATGTTTCTTTTTTTATATACATGTACGGGAAAAAGAAGAAAGAAATAGTGTATTCAGCGCTCGTTTTATCAAAAACTGCGAGCAACTTTTTTATTGAGGTAAATGCTTATCTATGCTTAAAGAAGACTGAAAATCAACAGATAGATTCTAATTTTTTTTTTTTTCTGGAGAAAATGTTGAGTTTCACAAAGTTACGAATCCGTGGCATCGTTCCAAAAATAAAATGAACCCGAAGGAGAACACCTGGAAATGAATCAC